GTTGGACCGTGCCACATCTCCATCACATTCAACCCATTTTCCAGTCTGGTAATTGGAACGATGTCTTGGTGTCTGAAGCGCAGTAAAGCTTTGTCGATCAGATCTATACAGAGAAGAGTTATCACTGCATTCCACATATCTAAACCCAAAAACCATAAATGTAATATACTGCAGCTTACCAGTCCTTAGATGTGGTGGCTGCATTAGTTTTCTTTTTTTTTTCTTTTATCTTTACCTGGTGATCTGGCAGCAATCCACCTCCTGTCTTAGACCTCATGCACACAGATGCAGAAAACGCCACTTTCAAGGGTGTTTGGGTTTTTTTTTTTCACCTCTGAACACCACTGCATTTTAGGTAATGGGCCCATGCACATGCAGGTGTTTTCGTCCAGTGGCGGAAATAAATTTCCCAAGCATGCATTACCCAAGAATCTGCTTTTGCGGTTTCTCCACACAAACGCATATACATGCCCCTAAACACATGTAAACACGCATAATCATACGCTTATGTGTGTGTATTTACAGTGAAGGAAATAAGTATTTGATCCCCTGCTGATTTTGAATGTTTGCCCACTCACAAAGAAATGATCGGTCTAAAAATCGAATGTTCGGTGTATTGTAACACTGAGACAGAATAGCAACAAAAAGTTCAAAAGAAATGCATGACTAACAAATGATGCACTGATTTGCATGTTTATGGTAAGTATTTGATCCCCTATCATTCAGCAGAATTTCTGGCTACCAGGTGTCTTCCATACAGGAAACAAGTTGAGATTAGAAGCAGTCTCTTAAAGGGAGTTCTGCTAATCTCATTGTGTTACCTGTATAAAAGACACCTGTCCACAGGAGCGATCAAACAATCAGATTGCAAACTCTCCACCATGGCAAAGACCAAAGAGCTGTCCAAGGATGTCAGGGACAAGATTGTAGACCTACACAAGGCTGGACTGGGCTACCAAACTATCGCCAAGCAGCTTGGTGAGAAGGTGACAACAGTTGGTGCAATCATCGCAAATGGAAGAAACACAAAACAACTGTCAGTCTCCCTAGGTCTGGTGCACCATACAAGATCTCACCTCATGGAGTGTCAATGATCATGAGAACAGTGAGGAATCATCCCAGAACTACATGTGAGGATCTTGTCAATGATCTCCAGGCAGCTGGGACCACAGTCACCAAGAAAACAATTGGTATCGAACTATGCCAACAAGGATTGAAATCCTGCAGTGCCCGAAAGGTCCCTTTGCTCAAGAAAGCACATGTCCAGGCCCATCTGAAGTTTGCCACTGAACATCTGAATGATGCAGAGGACTGGTTGAAAGTGTTGTGGTCAGATGAGACTAAAATCGAGCTCTTTGGCATCAACTCAACTGGCCCTGTTTGGAGGAGGAGGGATGCTGCTTATGACCCCAAGAACACCATCCCTACTGTCAAACATGGTGGTGGGAAACATTCTGCTTTGGGGGGGGGGGGGTTCTGCTAAGGGGATAGGACAACTGCACCGCATCAAAGGGATGATGGATGGGGCAATGTACCATCAAATCTTGGGTGACAACCTTCTTCCTTCAGACAGGGCATTGAAATTGGGTCGTGGATGGGTGTCCCAGCATGACAATGACCCAAAACACACGGCCAAGGCAACAAAGGAGTGGCTCAAGAAGAAGCACATTGAGATCCTGGAGTGGCCTAGCCAGTCTCCAGACCTTAATCCGACTGAAAATCTGTAGAGGGAGCTGAAAGTTCAAGTTGCCAAACGTCATCACCAAACCTTAATGACTTGGAGAGGATCTGCCAAGAGGAGTGGGCCAAAATCCCTCCTGAGATGTGTGCAAACCTGGTGGCCAACTACAGGAATCGTCTGACCTCTGTGATTGCCAACAAGGGATTTGTTACCAAGTACTAAGTCATGTTTTGTGAAGGGGATCAAATACTTGATAATTTGTTAGACATGCATTTCTTTTGAATTTTTTGTTGCTATTCTGTCTCAGTGTTACAATACACCGACCATTCGATTTTTAGGCTGATCATTTCTTTGTGAGTGGGCAAACATTCAAAATCAGCAGGGGATCAAATACTTATTTCCTTCACTGTATTCTAATGGATAGAATGCATTAATATTCTAGCCAATAGAATGAGTTTGCGCACAACCGCTTCTAAACACCATATGCATGTAAATGCGCATAAAACGCACCTAAAAGTGAAAAAACACAAAATCAGTGGCATTTTTTTCTGCCACCTTTTGGCAGCATAAATTCATTCACCCATGTGCATGAAGCCATAGGGTGGCTACACTCAATCATCAGCTGTATCTATGGAGCAGCCATGTAGCCACCCTTGGACAGCAGTGCTGTCATCCTAGAGTGAGGTTAGTGTTAGATGGACTAGTAGATTTAGATGGACTTTACATAAATGACTAAGAAATTAAAGCCTAACTCCAGCTATCACATTTTAGGCATTTTAAGCAGTTACAATGTATTTTTCCTTTTGAAATAAGGGTCTATTCACAGCAGATGCTGTGGCACTGTGATGGGCGGCTATTGCCACAAAACAAAGGAAAAATGCCTGAACATTTTGAAAAAAGTTTTTCTTAGTTTTCGTTATGAAAATTTTTCTTCTTCACCAATGTGCTCTGATGAGGCTGCACTGATGTGCCCTAATGAGGCTGCACTGATGTGCCCTAATGAGGCTGCACTGATGGGCACTCATGAGGCTGCACTGATGGGCACTCATGAGGCTGCACTGATAAGCCGGCACTGATAGGCTGCACTGATAGGCACTAAGAACCTGCACTGATGGGGCTGCATTGATAATCGGGGCACTGAAGATCAGTGCCCTGATTACACTGTTCAACAGGTAAAAAGTTTTGGGCATAAAATGAGCTAATCTTACATAATTTTGGGGTGCTGAAAACGAAAATGACCCTAAAAAATGTTGATTGGCTCGAGTTTCCATGATATATTCACCCATCTAATGACGTAAGCCATTCAAAATTATGATGCAACTTCAGCTGCATATTGCGCAATTGATAATGGTGACCAATAGAAAATTGCATGTATACTGAGATGATGCAATATTAGCCTTTAATTGCATCACTTCACTGCATAAAAGCTGCAGTATCTGTAGCTGATTGTAGTTCGACAGCGTCTTTACATTTCGTTTTATGCTTATATAGGCTACTCAGTAATGCCTCGAACTTGTGTGAATAAAGCAGATAATTTCTGCTATATCTGCGGTGAAATAACTTTTATCTCACAAAAAAGGAGGATAACAGGAATGATTAAGAAAGCCTACAACTTGTATTTTGGCTGCAAGATAGGAGACCAGGACAAGAGCTGGGCACCACATATATGCTGCAATTCTTGTGGGATGGCACTGGAGCAATGGTTGAATGGAAAAAAGGCATCTATGCCTTTCGCTGTGCCAATGATTTGGAGAGAGAGCCAACAGATCATGTTAGTAATTGTTACTTTGTATGGTGCCTCCAATTGTAAAAGGGCTAAATAAGAAGAAAAAGTTATCTGTGCACTATCCAAATATTCCATCGGCAATACGTCCAGTTCCTCATGGAGAGGGGCTACCAATTCCTAAAGCACCAGAATCCCTCGTGGTTGAGTCAAGTGAGGAAGAACCTGAAGCGTGTAGTCACGTGCAGTTGTAAGAGATAGCCCTTTCCTCGAATACAAGAGAAAAGCCAAGAGAAGCAAAACCGACACAATCTGAAGACAAAACTAGTGAGAATCCTAAGTATTAAAATGATTCAACTTAGCTTATGGCTATAATTTTTCTTGGTAATCCTATGCAATATATTATGCCATTTAGGCTTTGTTATGTAGTCAATATCACTTGCTTTATATTTGTGGAAAGACATCTATCTATATAATTATTGTGCATTATGTAGTCATTACGCCTATAGTAGAAAACTTTCCGTTTACAGAAAAACTAGAGCCAATTGACAAATTTCATTGTTATATTTGAACTCAGAATGTGAAATTCATTAAGAAATGGATCCTTTTGTTTCCAAAACTGGCAAAAAATAAAAATTTGTTGAACAGTGTTATCATTGTAGATGTGTCCTGTCAGGATTGCCATTATCAGCTCTCCTTTCCTCACGTGCTGTCACTGTGTGAGGAAAGGAGAGCCGATATGCTGAAATGCTGATAACCGGCAGATTTGTTTACATGTGATCAGCTGTGATTGGACACAGGTGATCACATGGCAAAGGGCCGCTGTGATTGAGCCTTTACTTTGATCTGTGATCAACTGTGTCCAAAGGTGATTACAGAGCGTGCCCAATGCGCACCCGGGGGGCATGCAGGGGGCAGGGTTCTGGGGAGACATCTATAGACACCCTCCCAGAAGTAGAAGACCGCACTGTAGCCGTCTTTTGGCTATGGCACGGTTGAGAAGTGGTTACAAAAATGTAAAAAAAAAAAAAAAGTCTGATCTCATCCAAATTGCAGTGCACACCAGTTGCTACGCTGAAATGCACCTGTGTCAAGGAGTGACATGGCGCTTATAGTGAGTTAGGGACCTTTTTTTCCTTAGTGCTTTTCCTCAACTAAAGAGCTAAATAGTGCCGTATACTGCATATCGACTTGCCCTTACTAAGAACTGGAGCTACTTCTCTGGCCACCAATCAACCTTTGTGAACTCTTTAGCAGTAGCAATTTATACATTTCTCTCACTTTTCGTTAATGTGTAACTTACCATGTAGATCATTCCTGGGGATGAGTTCCGAAGGAATAAAGAGAGAGCACACTTCCTTCACCAACTCCTTGTAGGAGAGAGCGCTCCATGATCTGAGAGTCTGCTCATCCAGCTTCGGGATCTGCTCCGGCATATACAGACCATCATCTGCAGCAAATCCCGAAAATAAGACCTCATCAAACCCCACACCAGACACAGCTCCTCTTGTGCTGGTGTACTTCATTTTTTCAGCTATAAAGGGAAGAAAAACACTCATATGTACAGACGACATGCATCAGGATTTACAGTATATTTACTCTAGGCACAAAATAAGGATGACACCTTAAAAATACTTAACCCTTCACATATTTAGTAATTATTGCTGCAAAAAAACTAAATCTAGGATCCACTATTGTAAGCAGCATTATGTCAGCTGTAGATATGGCTACAACTGTGCAGTCCACCAAACAACGGCCTAAGTAGGGAACCTCAGTCAGGTTTTTATTACCATTTGTGTCTCCATTGGAGAGATTTCCCATCACTTTCTGTTTTAGTAACTAATGCCATAATGTACAGGAAGTAACAGGGAATAGAAAGCATGCAGGAATTCAAATAGTTTCTTAAGAGTGGACAGGGTTCAGGAAGCTGGTGGTCAACTTACTTGATGTAGGGGCCCACTGCTATACAGCCATCCACCATGCTCATTGTGAGAGACGAGCTGAGTGGAAGGAGAAAGACCCCCTGTGCTGAAATGGATGTAACCTACCCTAAGCAGCTAGCACCCTCTTTTAACCACAAAGTATACAAATATTATGAAGAAAATGGTGTAGCGCTAAAATAAATACTAAACAGAAGTATCAATAACACATATAAACATAAAAGACATAGAAAAATATAGGTGAGCTGTCACAAACTGCACAAGTGACCCCCCACATAAAATAACCCCAATCAGGGGGAACAAATAACTGTGAGGCAAGTGATTCCCTATAGGGGAACGCAACTAATACACAAGTGCAAGTGTCCAACACATAAAAAATCACATATAAAAAATCATGCCAGATGAAAGTCCATTGAATCAACCTGAACACAAAACAGAGAAAGTGGAAGTTTCTCATAATTTGTGGGAGTTTTTAAAAGACATATTTATGGACACTTTGTTTCTTAACAGTTATAATTGTTCAACACATATATTTTCATGTCTTCACCTGTTTATAGTGTAGAAAGTAAAATAAACCTCCCAGTAATGCTATTACTAGGCTGCAGCTAGAGGGAGCTCTAATGATTTGTAGAGTGACTTCAGGAGACTATACCAATAAGCTCGCATTAAACTCGTAATGCAAGTGAGCAACATGTTTTATCTTTTCCTCTTTAAATACAGGTTAGTCACACTTGGGGGTTGATTTACTAAAGTCAAATAGACTGTGCACTTGCAGTGCAGTTGCTCTAAGGTTTTGTAAACAAGCAGAAGCACAGTCTATTTGCCTTTAGTAAATCATCCCCTATGTTTATGCTATCTTTGGTCATTGTGTGTTTGTTTTGGACACTCACTTTCTCTGTTTTGTATCCTATATGTTAGTAATGTAATTCTCTAATACAAATTAATGTGCTTTTCCATGTGGCCTGCACTGCCACTGCTGCTGGCCCGAATCACACTAGTGAAGGCCGTGCGGCCATCGTTTTTCATTTGAATGACCTGCTATGCCCTCATTTCACCAAGCAAAATCACCATGCAGTTTCGTGCACCCACTATCGCGCTGGGAGATGAGATGCGTGGGGGTGCCATTCAGAATTAATGACACCCCCACATTCTTCACAAGAGAAAACACAATGTGCCTGTGGGTGGTTGTGGGTGTGGGAACAGGTGCAATTCCTGCACCTGCAACCAGCCTGAAGCCTGCGGCATATTGTGAACCAGTAATTAGCTGTATAATGTTATCCATTTCAGTTTAACACATTAAACTTGGACTGCAAGTGAGCAACATGTGTTTTTTGCTCCTCTTTAAATATAGATACTGCAGGCTGCATCTTTGTCATATCTCAAACACAGATCACTGATAATCCCTTAACAATGGCACACATGGCATTGATTATCACAAGAAGCTGGTGAATATGTATGATAAAAAGCACTAGTGGCTTGTGGCACAGTTCAGCACAGAGTTGATTATATTAGCGCAACATGTGAAACCAAAAATAGCACACAAACCGCTCTTAGTGTAAACCATACAAAAAATATACATATGAAGGTAACAGCAGCACTCACTGATCTCTGAATACCCAATAACCAGACTAAACAAATAATGGGGTTGATTTACTAATACTGGAGTGTATAAAAATCCAGTGCAGCTCTTCAAAGAAACCAATCTGTTTCCAGGTTTTATTGTCAAAACTTAATTGAACAAGCTGAAGTTTACATAGTTAGTCTGTATGAAAAAAGACAAAAGTCCATCCAGTTCAACTATTTAAAAAAAAAAAAAAATTATAATCCTATACCCACAGTTGATCCAGAGGAAGGCAAAAAAAAGAATGAGCCAATTTGCTCCTGCAGGGAAAAAAATCCTTCCTGATCCCCGAGAAGCAATCGGATATTCCCTGGATCAACTTTACCTATAAATGTTAGTATGTTAGTATAAAAGTTAGAAGCTGATTGGCTACCATGCACAGCTGCACCAGGGGCGGACTGACCATTTGGAAACTCGGGCACTGCCCGAGGTCCCGGGGTCAGTAGGGGGCCCCATTAGATGCCCCTGGTACCTTTTTCATAGGCTTTTTTGAGTTTGGGCAAGGACACAGGGGCCCCATGATCCCCTATTGCCCGGGGGGCCCCATGAGTTGTCAGTCCGCTCCTGGCTGCACCAGATTTTGCACTCTCCAGTTTTAGTAAATCAACTCCGATGTGTTGCACTGCAACAATTAAGTGCATAAATACAAAACGTTCTGATGTAATATAAAAAAAAAACTATAAAGTACACTACAGTCCAGGGTGATGTGTATCCTTTGTACCACCTCCACCAATTACAGTGCACGCAGCCACCCCCACACCACACCACATGGCTTACCAGGACATTAAACATACAAGGTCTAATACAGCTCTATGCAGCCTATGGATAGATGGATGGCTATCCCACTTGTACCACTCATGGTCATCACTGTCACAGTGAATAGATCTGGTCCATCCCTGAAGCACTGCATGGAAAAGAGAGAGAAGAATGGGATTTCAAATTCTCAGAACACTGAGTGTGGCTGTGGGGGTGCTAATAGCTTGGCAACCCCAGAGGTAAGTACACCGGTGACTGGGGGGTGGGAGTAGGAAGGGGTGCATGATGTAGAAGTCGACTGAACTTTTAAAGATAAACTTTCCTGAGAAAAATATATAGACTGCTACTACTGACCCCTTCTGAAAATGCAGGTTTCCTGGCTGTTACGCTGACGCTCTGGCTTCTGTGCTTTCTGAATGGCTGATGTGAGGAGCAGAAGACTTCTTCGTGTTTTTTAGGATTTTCTGTTTAGCAAAAGTCAAATTAGTGACCAAGTTCTTATGTAAGAACATTCTTGTATTAGATTTTGTGGCCCTTTAAAAGCACTTGAAGACCAAGCATTTTCTGGCACGTTTTACTTACAAGTTTAAATCAGTATTTTTTACTAGAAAATTACTTCTAACCACCAAACATTATATATTTTTTGTTAGCAAAGACCCTAGATAATAAAATAGCGATTGTTGCAATTTTTTATGTCACATGGTATTTGTGCAGCAGTTTTTCAAACACAATTTTTTTGGAAAAAATAAATTTTAATCTGAAATTGAAATCTGAAAAATATGTTACGGTGCTTTAAAATTGGACACACTCGTGGAATGTGAAAAACTACTGAAAAAATCTCCATAGGCGACGCTTTAAATTTTTTTCGAAGTTACCTGTTTAACGTTACAGAGGAGGTCTAGCACTAGAATTATTGCTCTTACTCTAACGTTCAGGGCAATACCTCATGTGTGCTGCGAACACCGTTTACACATGCGTGAAAGACTTACATATGTGTTAACTTCTGCATGCAAGCACGGAGGGATGGGGGAGCTTTACATTTTTACCACTTTTATATTTTTTTTACCACTTTTATTCCTATTACAAGAAATGTTAACATCCCTTGTAATAGAAATAAGCAATAGGTTCTCTTTAACCCCTGGACGCCGAGCGCATGCAAATATGTGACGTCTCGGTGTCTGGGCCTTGCATATTTGCGTGCCATTAGAAAATACATATGTGCTGAGAGTGAGCACCCTGCGCACTACCAGCACATATGTCCGTGACTCACGGGAAGGTCCCGATCAGGGGCGGACTGACCATTTGGAAACTCGGGCACTGCCCGAGGGCCTGGGGTCAGTAGGGGGCCCCATGAGATGCCCCTGGTACCTTTTTCATAGGCTTTTTTGAGTTTGGGCAAGGACACGGGGGCCCCTTGATCCCCTATTGCCCGGGGGCCCCATGAGTTGCCAGTCCGCCCCTGGTTCCGATCTCCCCTTGCGATCGGGACCTTTTCCGATCATGTGACCACCATGATGGCGAATCACAGCGGTCACATGACCCTAAAACCCCACCCGGCTTCTGAAACTTTTAAAGCGCCAGGAGGCGCCGGCGCAAAGTGGTTAGGGAGAGATCTGGGGTCAAAAAGACTCCAAATCTCTCCTTTAAAAGCAAAAGATTAAAAAAAAAAAGTTTTGTTCTTTTTCTTTAAAAAAGAAAACAATTGTTTACATCTGTCCTGGACTGGATGTGACATCATGATGTCGCTTTGGACCTCCAACACCATAGAGGTGATCAGAGACCATAGAATCTCTCATTGCCTCTAGCAGCAGCGAGCCGCACCGTCGGATCTTTTCTCGTGGACGCTGGTTTTAACAGTGAGCCCGAGAAACACCGGTGAGCAGCAGGGGGGGGGGGGCACAGGTACAGAAAGTGTTCCAGTGGCTAATGAACTGCTCAGACCACTTTCATCAGAAATCCAGGCTGAAAAAAAGGTTATGGCTGATATCTTCCCCACTTCTGGAACGTATATATACGTATTGCAGTCTTCTTAGAATCTGTTCTGAGCTAGGCTGTAGAACCAGAGTAATAATGGAAGATACCGCTTCATATGCAGGACAAAGTTTTTGTAAAGAAAATAAACATTTCTACTCTTCTCTAATAGTGATTGTCTCACCCCGGCGGTGTATGATGAGTATTGTGCAGGGGATCCTTTGTTGCTCTCACAGGC